AATAGTCACAAAATTATTGGTATCGTTGATTTTTAAAATGAAAGTAGCAGGCCAATCTGGGAAAGCGATGTGCGCACTGTGGCGTCACAGCAGGAATGAGAGCATATGTAACCCTTCACCCCTGCTATATCTCACCGTAAGTCAGCAAGGCCGGTCCTACCCTTGGGCAGAGTCCTATGCCTGCCTCTGGTGGCTGATATTGGGAGTATAGGGGAATAGGTAATGGGTCTTGGAGGACAAGAGTTCTCTATGTCATGTCACACACCTGGTGTTCCTTACATTTCCTGGTGCTAGCGGCATTGCCTACCCATATCGGGGGCTGCAACGCTTGTCGCTGCCACTGAGTTCTCCAACATGCTGCCGTGGCTACTGAAATTCGTGGCCATTGCAGCAACTAGGGTGCGGGAGAGTGCAAGGGTGACCTTCTGCCCCATAAAGTCCTGCCAGTTTGCAGGACGGGACATCTTCTGGGGTTTTGGAAGGAAGAGGAAGCTGTAGAAATCGGGAGAGGCTGTTGGAAAGCCACCCCCTGTTTTCAGTGGAGGCTCATGTCTTCCCTGAGCTCCACCCTTATCCCATAATAGTTACACCCTCTTGCTTTTTCTGAAATAAGATTCAACTCACTACCTTCGTTTGGCTTTTTCTTCGTGGATGGTTGGCGCTGGAAGATGGCACTGTGTCTTCTGCCTTGGGTCAGGAAATGTCTTGGTCTGACCCTTTGGAGGCGAGGAACCTTCAACTGTGACTCACTATACAACACACACAAATGCAGAACTGCACAAGAGCAATGTAGTAGTTACCATATTGTATTAAGATCGGGAAAGAGGAGAGTGCAAAAAACGGTCTGGAGCTCAACATCAAAAAAACCCTAAGATCATGGCCACTGGTCCCATCACCTCCTGGCAAATAGAAGGGGAAGATAGGGAGGCAGTGACAGATTTTACTTTCTTGGGCTCCATAATCACTGCAGATGGAGACAGCAGCCACGAAATTAAAAGACGCCTGCTTCTGGGGAGGAAAGCAATGACAAACCTTGACAGCATCCTAAAAAGCAGAGACATCACCTTGCCAACAAAAGTCCACATAGACAAAGCTATGTTTTTTTCCAGTAGCGATGTATGGAAGTGAGAGCTGGACCATAAAGAAGGCTGACCGCCGAAGAATGGATGCTTTTGAATTGCGTTGCTGGAGGAGACTCTTGAGAGTCCCCTGGACTGCAAGGAGATCAAACCTATCCGTTTTGAAGGAAATCAACCCTGAGTGCTCACTGGAAGGACAGATCCTGGATCTGAGGCTCCAATCCTTTGGCCATCTCATGAGAAGAGAAGACACCCTAGAAAAGACCCTGATGTTGGGAAAGTGCGAAGGCAAGAGGAGAAGGGGACGACAGAGGATGATTAGATGGCTGGACAGCGTCATCGAAGCGACCAACGTGAATTTGACCCAACTCTGGGAGGTGATGGAAGACAGGAGGGCCTGGCATGCTCTGGTCCATGGGGTCACGAAGAGTCGGACATGACTGAACAACTAAACAACAATAACAATTAAGATCGGGAAGACTTGGTTGGAATCTTTCCTCTGGCCACCGGTCACCATTCTCTTTCTTAGGACTCACTTACCTTACCAGCCGTTATCAAAATAAAATAGACGTGCCGTTGGGAGAAGAACCCCGTACAGTTCCTCGACCCCCTTCAAGGAAAGTGGGGAAGAATAAACAGGTACCAAATCTGGCTGTTATGGGAGGATTGTTTTGGCGCGAAGCATATTTTAAACAGTTTGGCTCAAATCCATTTGGAGAAAAAACACAACACGCGCAGAAGGACAGATGGGCCAAGGCTTCATAAACGGCGTAAGGTCAAATGCATGAGCGAGAGTCCGCCGGGGAGGTGGGAAATGTAACCTTTAAAATTTAAACGTCGTTTTGTTTTAGGGGCGTGTCCAGAAGTTGTTAAGTTTTCACCACTTCTGATTGTTATCGAGGCTGCCTGGAGGTGATGGAAGTTAAACATGCAACCACCTCAAGGGAGATGGTTGCTTTTTGGCCCTTGCTGCAGGGCCATGCTTAAGATTTACCCTTCGAAAAGGCAGCCCTCAAATTGCATTTTAAAAATAAGCATGACACCCCTTGACGGCTGTCCTGTACATACAGGTGTTAAATATGCAGGATCCGCTTGCCTCTCCCATACCTTCCTCTATCAAATAATGTGGACTGCCTAGCTTCCAGCTTCTGGTGGCGCAAGCCACGTTTTCTATACCATTGGCGCAGTTGCTCTGCAAAAGTAATGCCACAGACCAGAACATGGGGTTTCTAGTTACGTTCAAAAGTTACTTTTCAATGGCATTTTAAGGCCTTTTTCTTTTCTATTTTGGGGGATGGACAGGTTCAGAATTGAAGGTGACTCCTTTTCTAGTGTGGGTAAAAGGGCGCAGGGATCACTTCCTTCCTTGGAAAAGAGAACGGCGATCCATCCGCTTGGTTCTTGGTTAAAAGGAACAACAACAAGCTTTTATTTGTCGTTACGGCTTTGTTCTTTCCCATAATGGAGTGTGGAGCTACAGCTGCATATGTCTATCTTTAGGGAGGATTAAAATGGAGGCGAGCAGGAAGGCAATGAATATAAGAAGCAACAGGAAAGAAAGGGTAGTTTCAAAGCTTCTAGGGGGGGGAAGGGAAGGGAAATTCCAGGTTTATTGGTAGAGCATGCTCCCTGCAGACATCCAGTGTTAAAGCAGAAAATGCAAGATTTTATTTTTTCCAGTCCAGTAGGATGGGGCCAAGCGCCCCCTCCAGCAGATATTGGAAAATGCAAACATGGTTATAATAGCAAATGCTATGCATAGCTTGGTCTCTGGCTCCTTCTAAAGGCCAATTCTGATAACTTCATGGTTAAAAATATATACCGTATTTTTCGCACCATAAGACACACTTTTCCTCCACAAAACAGGGGGGTGGAAAGTCTGTGCGTCTTATGGAGCGAAGAAAACAGATTATATTTTCCTGTTTTCTTCTCCTAAAAAATTGGTGTGTCTTATGGAAAGGTGCATCTTATGGAGCAAAAAATACGGTATATTGGGGTTTTTTCTTTTAATATTTTCAGGCCATGGATAAGTGAATCAGTGGAGACTGATCCCACGGATAAGGGGGCCCTACCGTATTATTTTAAGTGTCCTGACCAAACCTTTTTCCACTTTAATGCCATTCTCTTATCAGTGATGAGATCTCTTTTCAGCAAATATATCCAGGAAAAAACTGGGCAACCCTCTGTTAGATTTGCTGCGATTTGGATTCCTCCCTTGGGCAGGGTTTTGGACTTAATGGCCTAAGAGGCCCCCTTCCATCTCCATGATTCTAGGATTCGACGAAAAAGTAATGCCAAGACCAAAAAAAAATGTGTGAGAAGCAAAAGGTACACAACACATTGTACCTTTCCAACATCGCAATGAATAACAACTAATAGTATCATAGAATCATAAATCAGTAGGAAAGGTGCCATAAGACCAACCCAGGAATCCAAATCAAAGCAGGATAGTTGTCCTGCTCATATTCAGCTTTTGATCTACAACAATTCCAAGATCCTTGTCATTCATAGTATTTCCCCCCATCTTGTAACTATGTATTTGGGTTTCCCCCCCCTCTCCCAGGTGTAGACCTTTGCACTTATCCCTACTAAATTTCGTTCTGTAGTTCCCAGCCCAGTGCTCAAGTCAACGAGGATCTTTTTGAATGTTGTTCCTTATCTCCCAAGGTATTAGCTGTTCTATCCAAAGTTGTGCCATCTGCAAATTTGATAAGCATTCCCTGCCCTCCTTCCTCAAAGTTCTAATAAAAATGTTGAAGAGCACAGGGCCCCGACTGGGCCTTGCGGTACCCCACTTGTTGTTGAGAAGGAGCTATGGATAAGGGCCCTTTCTGAGTGTGATTCTGTAGCCCATTGTCTATCCACTTGACACTTGATCTCTCCAGCCCACACCTAAAAGGTAAAGGTTCCCCTTGACATTTTTAGTCCGGTCGTGTCCGACTCTAGGGGGGCAGTGCTCATCCCCGTTTTTCAAGCCGTAGAGCCAGCGCTTGTCTGAAGACCGTTTCCGTGGTCACGTGGCCAGCGTGACTAGGGAGCACCGTTAGCTTGCAAATCAGAATCTCATGGTGCACTTGGTCAAAAGCTTTGCTGAAGTCAAGATATATTACATCTGCAGCATTCCCATGATCTTCGAGGGAGGTGACGCGATTAAAAAAACAGATAAAATTAATCTGGCAGGACTGGTACTTGGCAAATCCATGTTGGTTTCTCATTATTACTGCCTTGTTTTCAAGGGGCTTGCGGAGTGACCGCTTTAATATCTGCTCTGGAATTTTCCCTGGGATTGATGTTAGGCTGACCAGTCTGTAGTTCCCCGGTTCCTCCTCTTTGACTATTTAAAAACTTTTCTCCCTGCTGGGACATATTGCAAGGGTTTTTTAAAAGCATTTTTCACATTTTGGCACTTTTCTGTGAAAAATCCATGCGAGTGTGGGTTTTTTGCACACAAAAAATCCATGCTTTTTTAACGGAAAGTTTTTCTTGCCGAAATATACTTTCTTTTCTTTTTTTTCTAATGCTGTGGCTGATGAAAAAATATGCTGGTCTTTCGCCCTTGTGTAGGAGTGAAAAATCTCACAGCAGTTGCCCGTTTAGATGGTGTCTCCATGTGTCAGAGACGCCAGTTTTCATTAAGGAGAAGTGCGAGTAATTCATTAGATCCCCAAACAAAGAGTGGGTTACTTTTCAAACGTTGTTATCAAGTGCTGCTGACCAATTATTATTTTTTTAGAAACAGCTTTCTGATGAATGCTAATGAAGACCAGCAGTTGAGATATCAGCCTGTCTCCTTCGGATGGGATATGTAGATTTTAAACACATGGGGTGTCCCTAAAGATCACAGCAACGCTCTCTCTCTCTCTCTCTCTCTCTCTCTCTCTCTCTCCCACCCACTCACTGGCTTCTTTTTTCTGTCCGTAGGGAAAGAAGAGTTTGTGGCGACGTTCAAGGGGAACGAGTTCTTCTGCTACGACCTGTCGCACAACCCCATCCAAAGCAGCACGGACGAAATCACCCTCTCCTTCCGCACCTTGCAGCGCAACGGCCTGATGCTCCACACGGGGAAGTCGGCGGACTACGTCAACCTCTCGCTCAAGAGCGGCGCCGTCTGGCTGGTCATCAACCTGGGCTCGGGGGCTTTCGAGGCCTTGGTGGAGCCCGTCAATGGCAAGTTTAATGACAACAACTGGCATGACATCCGTGTGACCAGAAACCTGCGCCAGGTGAGCGGGCTCTGCCCACGTTCGCTCTGCACTTGAAGGGTGGCGGTGGTGGTGGTGGTGGTGGTGTGGGCATAAGTTTGGATTTGGGGGCGGTTCCTTTGCTGTGTGTGTGTGGGGGAGAGTGCACCTCGTTGGGTTGCTATCAGGATAGTGCCCCAGTTGTGCCAGACACCACAGAGAGAACAGGTCTGAAAAACAAGCAAGACGAAGACAAGCATAGTGGCTGTCAATCATTACCAACCCTACGGGAGGCTGTGCCAGCTGGGCATGAGTTTGTCCATCAATATCTGCAGGCCACCGGTTGGGACCGAGAGCCCCTACTTTTAACACAGAGAAGGGGGGAAAACCAAGCCACATGTGGACTTTGCACAGCCCCCAAGCACACTTGCCATGGAACCACCGCCCCTGAATTCCATTTTCTACCCTTGCTCCCTACCGCTGATCTTTGATGCCTTCCTGCCATTCTACCCTCTTGGGCTCGATGGTGCAGGAAGATTGTTGGGCACCCCTTGTGCCATAGAGAGCTGCTGCCCTTGCAGCCGGATTTCGGTGGTAACTAGGGTGTCAGTGGCGTGTTTCTGTCAACGGTTGTGGCCCTGCCCCATACAGGGCGTGAAGGGGGTCCTCTGCCACACCCCTACCCCAAGTTGCTGCTGGTGGTCTCTGTTCGAGCATCTCCTCTCTACAGGGAGTTGTGTCCTTTTGCTTGCAAAAGCAAATGGGGTTCTTGAGATGGGGAGGTCGAAGGAGCAGACAGGGTCTCTCAACGATGAAGAAGCCGTGGGGACAACTTGCCAGTTGATGACAGGGCTGGGTCAAGGGAAAAAAAAACAACACAATTTTCCCCCCAGTTCTTCAAAGGTCCCGTTGACCTGACAGTCTTCTCCCCCTTGACTGCCTGCAGGCATACGAGGTTGCCATTTTTCAGAGCAATGGCACAGTCTGTGGAAACGCTTAAGAGGACCTTGTCTGCCCCAAACATGAGGCCTGGCACCAAAATCAGCTTTGGAGGGTGGGGTTGAATCATCCGGACTAAAGTGTTAAACCCCCATCGCCTTCCAGACCAGCGAAGCGGCCCTTTGCCTCTCACGAGAGGAGGTTTAGATGAGCCTTAGTTATGCT